GCTCCCAAGGACATCAATGACAGTGTGAGCGGGTGAGAGGTGTGTGGAGGACGGTGACAGCGAGGGACCCTCCCTGGTGTAGCCAGGACATCTCCTGCAGACCCATTTCCAGGATCCTGAAGCTGTGTTTAGTTTAAGCAGGTTTCATGTGGTTTCATTCTAAACTTAGGTACTATGGGAAGCTCCTGGGCTTTGGTAAAGTGAGTCCAGAGCCCTGAGCTGAAACTGGAAAACAGAATAAGGCCGTGAAGATGCCTCAAAGTTTGACTGGAAATAGCTCAGGAATCCAGGCCCTACCCCCATCCTCACATGTACATGGATGATAACATCGGGACCTTTTAATTTCTCTGAATGTGCGTGGAAAAAAAACAAAGCAAAAAACCCCAAAGACTTGGTTGCTGCTGAAATGCAGAATTAGGAAGAGGAAGCTTATGTGCTGCTTCTGGCAGTAATGGATGTGGGTCTAACCTGGGATCTGGAATTCCAACGCCAATGAACTCCGTGTTCAATCCAAACTCTAACCAAGCTTCTCCATCCCCAGCTGCAAACACCCGGCAGCAAAAGGCAAAACTCCAGCTCCGGAGCTGGGTTTCTTTTCGACTCCAGCCTCTGTGACGTTCTCCAGAGCCACCATGGGGAAGATTCCACGTCTTTTGGTGCTGGCTGCAAGGGAGGATCTGCGTGGGCAGAGCCGGGGCAGGGAGAGCGTGCTGGCCGCGTGCGGCATCGCGGGCAGCGAGGAGGTTTGGGGGGACGCGTGCGGCTCCCCCTGCCCACGTGTGGCTCTCCGCCACAAACCACCCGGCTGGATGTGCCAGCCAGGGCACGGAATCCTTGGGAACAGCCTGGAGCGGTCGCTGGGAGTCCACCTGCTCCTCGGGAGGTGGTTGTCCACGGATCCGCCAGCCCTTGGGAAAGGGCACCACCCAGACCTGCGCTGTTGGAGGGTGTTGCCCTGCTTTATCTGCGCCTCCCTTGTGCCCTAATTGCTGTTTGCAGGGGCTGGGAGCTTTGCCCCGCGCTGGGAAGCACTGGCTGCTTTCATATTTGTGGGTGTAGCCTGAGAAGAACCCCAAGGACCTTCTCCCAGTGTCCTTCCCTCCCACATGGCATCCTAGACCAGCTTCAAAGGAAAGGGCCCCCCATGGATTTGCAGTCTGGACATAGGGAGGCCACGGGGAGAGGGACGGATTGGGCAGCACTTTGTTCCTTGCCCAGCAGAGCAGCCATGGATGGGACCTGAGCGTCTCCTTGCTGTGGAATTGGACGGGAGACTAAGGAGCGGTGGGAGAGCAGAGAGGGGGAAGCCGGATCTGAAGCTGCAGTTGGGCAAGATTCTGCACTTGGCCAGGAGCACGTCAGGTTTCCTTACATTAGACTGGTTATGGGTCGCTGCAGTTATGCTGGAGTCGGCCAAAATCTGGAAGTCTTGGAGTTACTTGTCTTTTTTGTTAACCTGCACCTGCCACCCGAACTCTCAGACGTGAATTTACAGGAAAGGTCCCATTTGCTGCTCTTTGCTCTATAGAACCAAAAGCAAAGGACTCTCTGTGGCGGCCGCCGAGGTCTCCGGCACCATCATAAAAGTCCCTACGATCTGTAACCACCTCCTGCTTTTCTCCCCTATTGTGTGGGTCAATGAGCTGCCCTTCCCAGGCCTTCAGAAGACACTTTTATGGAAACGGGTCCAGCGGAGGCTCCCTGGGGATGTCAGGACGGGCCGAGCAGGGGCAGCGAAATCGCTCGGCGGCTGCTACCGCAACGGGGCCTTTGGGTTCCTGCCCTTTTCTTCCTGTGGCTGTCAGCCGGGTTGCTATGGCACTGTACCGCACATCACCCGGCGCCTATAGCACTTTATGAGCCGTAAACGTCCATCTCAGCAACGCGCTGCTTTGGCAACTCGTCGCCAGCCGTTTTTTTCCCTGCCTGCGTTTGGGTTTGGCAGAGGAGCCGCGTTCCAACCGCTGCGAAAATCCAGCCTCGTGCTTTCGGCCACAGGGTTGTTTTTTTTTAAAAAAACTTCTCTTTTCTAAGAAAAGAGCTGCATTTCAGTGCAGCGTGAAATCCCTATATCCCCGCTGCTTCCCTTGAAGGGAAAGGTGTGAGACGGGCCCCAAGAGCCCCCAGTGAAACCAGGGGCGGCAGGGAGGGAGCCAGAGCGGGTCCCTCGTCCCCCTTTTCCCCCTCACTTTGTCTAACAGGAACAGAGGCAGGCGGGGGCAGTCGCATCCTGTCGGGGATGTGGAAAGAAAAAAAAAAACAATAAACCGAATGCAAAGAACAGGAAACATCTCTGAAACGGGCTGAGGTCACACACACCTTCCCCGGCAGGAGGAACTAGCAGGGCCGGGGCTCCTGCTGCAGCCGGTGACATTTTGCTTTGAAAAAACGTCATCCTATGGGGGACGTTGTCAATACGGCTGGAGCCAGAGGCTGCCGAGGCCGAGGGAACCTCCCTGCAAACGGGACGCAGCTGGAGGCCGCGGATGCTGGGCACCGTTGGAAAACGAGGCCCAAAGTCCTCGGAAATTCGAGGAAAAGGCCATGATTTGTGCCCGCGGCTCCCTCGAGTGCTGCAACGCGCGTTGTCTAAAACATTTTGGCAGAGGCGACGCTCGCCTGGGCTGTTTGCTGCCAGGATCCAGGGGATGCGATGAGCAAAGAGGCTCAGGGGGCTGTTCCGGGAGAAGCAGCTCCTCGGTGGTGCCACCGGTCCCCAAGGCCCGGGTTTGTGCTACGGAAGCGCAGGGGACGCGGCAGCACCGTCCGGCCCGCGCGTGCCGCGAGCCGCCCTCTCACCCGGGCCGCAAACGGGCCCAAACGGCTGCTGTGTCCCCACGTCCTCCCCTCCCTCTCGGCTGCGTTTCACACGCTTCGGTCACAGTCTGATTGCACAACCGTGTGTTTTGAAAGGCCTTATTAGCTCTAAGTGCAGGCTGGGCTGAGGCCTCTTGCTTTATTGTTTACCCTGCCTGCTAGGCCTGTTTCTGGGGTCAGGCCCAGGTTAGCAATTACAGCTGCCATTAAACACAGAGCCCTGCTTACCCCGGGCTTTTTTTTTTTTCCCTTAAATTCCCACCGATGGTGCTGAACGGGAGTTAGCACCCGGGTGGCTGACAGCACAGGACCCCAGCACTTGTGTGTCCTGAATGCGCAGGAAAAGCAGCCCGTGGCTTCCCAAATCCAAGCAGATCCCCTTAAAATCATTTCCAAATGCAAGGCTAAAAGGAGGGGCCCACGAGGCGGCTCATTTAGCCATCTGCGGGACGCGTCTCATCAAGAGGATTTGGATGCTAATTCTGCCCGTGCAACCATTTCTCCGCTGATAACCAGTGGCTGGAATCGCTGTTTGCCTGGCCACTGACTCTGTATTCAAGCGACAGCTTCTGAAATGGGTTTCGGGTCCAACGCTGCGTATTAGAAAAGCTGCTTCCCCTTGCAAATGTAACCAAAGAAAGCAGGAGTGTGGGAACTGGTGCCTTTGGGGTGTGCAAAAGAGCTGCGAGCTGCTGACTCCAGAAAAGGCCGAACCCGCGTGAGCATTTTGGTCTGTCCGTGCCGAGCTTGAGCCCTCGACTGAGCCAGATGTTGTCGTTTTATTGTCAAACTTCCAGCTCGACTCGTTTTGGATAAACAGGACCAGGATGGTTGAAAACCCATCTGAACTTTTTATTCCTGCCAAACCAGTTACAAACCTCATCCAGCCAATCACTATATATAATTCGAACTGAAATTTAAATGTGCTCAGCTGTTTCTAGCTAAACACGGGGTGGAAGCTAATGCAACCAGAACAGCAGTAAAAGCAGCTCTAACTTCTCTTTTTTAAATGAATTTTATTTTATAATTGTTTTTTACCCCACAGCAATCTGAAAGCGTGCATGAAGTCTTGCGTTTAAGACAGCCTTGCCCAGGGCCAGAAGTTATGGACACGGACCCTGCTTGGAGGTCCTTGAGCTCCACAGGAAACCTCTTATTGGAAGGGGTTAACGAGGAGGATCTGAGCTGGGAGAGCGGGACCCAGCGAGGGCAAAGGCCTCAGCCTGGAGGAACGGGGACGATGATTAAGAGCAAATGGAGGATGTGAATTTGGAGAATGGTGCCACCTCTTACTTCATCTGCTTGCAGAGCAGGGGGGACCAGGAGAACCTGCCCGCCCGGGTTAGATCATCAGCAGCACTTGGGAGCACTGTTACCCTAATTGCAAACGAACCCGCGCTCGCTGTTAATGCTGTTCTTGGCCCACTTGAGGACAGTGGAGCTCTTGCTACGATCACAGTGACGCAGAACGGGACTGTCCCATCCCAGCCCTTCTCTGTGTGATCCTGCAGCCTCCGTTTCGCAGGGGATTTATTTTCACATTTATGCCCCCTTGGGCTTTTACAGGTGCACTTATAAAAACCTGCCTTGCGCCAGGATAGCTTGGCTTGCTGCTTAATTTTATACCAGTTCTGATCCAAGCGCTCTGGGTGTCTTCGGTGGCGGACGGTGTCAACACCCCGCGCCCACGTTGTAGCGCGTGTCACCCGGCCCCGGCTGCCTTCAAGTGCGCTGCTCGCTTCAAAAACAGCCCTTAGACTTTAATCCTCGGGTTTATTTCAAAGCTTACAAAGGCCAATCTGGTTTATAGCAGGAGATTTGGCCGCTTCCTGGCGCTCCGCGGATGAATGGGGCGGCAGATGGAGGGAGGCGGGGAGGCCGCGGGAGCCCCGCGCTCCGGCCGTGCCGACGGCGGCGGGAGCAGAACGAGCCCCACGCTCCGGAAGGCCTCGAGTAACTGCTGCTGCGTTCCGGAGTCACGGAAAAGGACGGGCGCTTGGAGACGCCCTGGCAATACCCGCTCCTGAAATCCCGTCTCCTCGCGGCCATGGGAGCGCTCGCCTGGGGGGCTCCGTGGGCGCGCGAGAGCGGCGCGGGAAGGTCCCCGTGTCACCGCTCCCTGGCCGCCTTGGGGACCTTTGCCCAGACAGGACATGGTCCGGGGCACCCCGATGTGTCTCGGCATGGGCAATGCGGGGAGGCTGCTCGGTGCTGGCAAAACCCCCGTGCTGCAGAGCGGAGACCCCCCTGCCCATCCCCGCGCCCCCCGCCGGCACCGGGGACGGGTCACTGTCACCCGCAGAGGCCGAGGGGACGGGTCAAGGTCAC